AAAAAAAAAAAAAAAAGAAAGAAAGAAAACAAAAGATCCCTGGGAATTCACAGAAACCTTGGGGGTGATTACCAGACTTTCTGAAGCGTTTGGAAGGGGGAAGATGATGTAACTTCAGCTGACATCTGCATTACAATATATATTATCTTATTTCATTTTAGTATTACAACAGACAAAGAAACAGAAGATCAGAAAGGTGAAGTGACTTGCCCAAGATTATTCAGGTAAATAGCAGAGCTAAATAGCTAAATCAGCTATTTCTGACTCCAGAAACCATATTTTTTCCAAGACCCAGCATAACTGAGGAGGAAACTTGGCAACAAGTGTGTGCTCAGTTAGGCAACGGTTCAAATAATTAAGCAAATGCTTCATAAAGTGACAGCTAATTTGGTATTTTGATATCAGATAATCCTAAGGAGAGACCAAAGGCAGACCAGGAGAAAGGAGCTTAAACAAAAAGTTTTAGGGTGAGGAGCTGTCCTGGGAACATAAGAGTACATCAGCTTCGCTGGAGATTAGGGTGTGGAAGGAATGTATTGGGAGATAAGGTCGGCAAAGGCCAGAATGTGGTTAAGGAATTTGGGCTTTATCATGAGAAAGTGGGGAGTATTAACCCATAGAATAACGTGGTCAGAACACATTTTTAGGAAGATCATTTGGGAAGCCAGGGTCAGGGATACCGGATGGATTTGTTGTAGTAGGACCAGTCAAGGGTTCCGTCCAAAGCAATGTAGTATCTCTGAAACCCTGAAAGGGTGAGGTTAAACCCTGCCTTGATCGAAATGTTCACAAAACAGCCACTAGTTGGCAGGAGTGTGCCAATGAATGAATGAACCAAACTCCCAACTAGCACATCTTCCCTTCTCTCACTCCTTGAGCTGTAGTGGGATATGATCAGCTGGTGGATAACAGGAGTAGGTGGGAGGGCAATCTCTTCGGAGGAAACTTCAAAGGCCCAGAGGAGAAGGAGAATGTGATCAGAGAACAGAGTGGATGGATGGCTGGACGATAGGGTTGGAGTCGAGTGGGGCCAGCCGTGAGGGAGAGAGCTTGATCATGAATGACTTGAATTTTCAGGTTAAGAAACATAGACATTATCCTGAGAGAAATGAGGAACCCACGAAGGTTTTTAAGTAGGAGAGAGACATAACTAGATTTGAATTTTAGGAAGATCATCGATTGCAGTGTGGAGAATGAGGAGGAAGGAGGAAGCAGAGCCAGTGAGAAGGCAGTTGCAGTGATCCTGGGAGAGGTGACGAGTGGCCAGCACTAGGGGCAGCAATTGCAACGGACAGACGGGCCAGAATTGTAGGAGACTTATGAAATAAAAATCACAGAATGAAAAAGGGGCCACTAAAAATGTAGTTGACAGAAGAGAATGAATATCCTTTCCCTATTATTAAATGCATCCTGAATTGTCAGATCGTCTACCTAAAATTGCACTGGAAGAACTCAGATTTCAGAACTTCTTGGCTTCTAAATTCTACTTCATTCATTCAATAATCCTGACCAGAGTCTGTGGTGGAAAGTGGGGACCAAGGAACGGCTCAGTCCTGTACCTGTGGCAGCTGCCCCCACCCCGCCTGCGCGCCCAGTGTGGTGGAAAGATAGTCAATTCCGGTACAGTGTGGAGAGCGCTTTGATGGAGGAAATACAAGCCGATGTAGTGTCCCCGGGAAAACCTGATCCAGAAGGCTTCCAGGGAGAGGAGATTTTGCGTCTAAGATTTCAAATGAAACATCTCATAACACTGTCAGTGAAACAACTAAGCACTGCTGGGAAAAGATGGTGGCCTGCTGGGAAAAGATGGTGGCCCGGAGAACAGTCCCGTTATCTATTTACCCCTTTTCGTCAGAAACCGTAGGCGTCACCTTATGCGAGATAGGAACCCGGGTGAGCTACGTCCCCAGGGATGCCCAGCGATACACAAGTCACCGTCACCCCCTCCAGAGTAAACAGCATCGCCTGACAAGCAGGCGTCCGGGTCGTCCTCAAGGGCCAGCGCCTGGAACCGCCAGGGTGTGATTGGTGGAGTCTTGGAGCCCGCCCCTCGTCGGGCCCAAAAAATCGTCTCTGATTGGTGGAGACGCCACCGGGCCCCGCCCCTCCCCAATCTTGTCCGGGCGCCGCCGGCGGCCGGGCTTTGGGGACCGTTGTGAGGTCTGGGGAGGATGCGCCATCGACCCCGGCAGTAGGCGGCCGAACCTTGGTCCCAAATCTTCTACCTCGGGGTGGATTGCGGCCCCTAGAGGAAAGGCGTCAGCGGAGCGACCAGCAGCTGTGCCGCCACGGCACTCTGGGACACGCTGAGGGCGGGCCGGGCTCCCTGCGCCTGCGCTGACATTTTGCAGTTTGGGAAATGGCGGTGCTCGGGGACGTGGCGGGAGGGAGCTGCGAGTGGATTGTCGGGCCTTTTCAGACCGGGGTCTGGATCCCCGGGCCGGGGCGGTTCCGGGTTGCTGCCTGGCTCTGCCAACTTTCGGGGCCCTCGCGTACGGCCACCGGCGCGGGGCTCCCACCCATCCCCACCCCACCCCGTCTGTTTCCTTTCCGGTCCAGTGGGGACAGCCTCTGAGTGAGGAGCGTCGTAGGAGTAAGATACCCGAGTGGCAACCCTGACAGCCTAGGCCCCAGCCACTCCTTCTCGCCCTGTCCCCCACCCTCTCCTGCACGGGGACCCGGATAACTCCTTTCCACAGAAGTCTTTTGGGAGCACGTGATAAGGCTTCTTTTCACCTGGCCTCAACCCTTCATCAGTTAACCGCCCTGTCCTCAGGCTCAGGCAGGGCACATCCTTCTCAATCTGCTCTCCTTTGTGAGATGCAGATGGATGTTCTCATAGATTTTGTATACCTAATGGTAATGCATATAGGTATTTCCATTTGCTAAGTACCAGTTTTCCTTTGTCAGCTGACCCTCTAGAGACAAATATCCTTGGTGTTTTATTTCCTGAAGTATCTTCTGAGTGCCTGCTGTGCATCAAGCACTGTACTGAATAGTGCTGAGGACCCACAGGAACCAAATCAGCATCTTCTCATGAAACTCAGACTAGTGGCAGAAAACTGGACTTGTGATGAAGGAACAGATGAAGTGCTCTGGAATTCAGGGGTGAAGGAGGAAGATGAGCTGTCTTTAGAGAGGAAACAGTAGCATATAAAGGAACCAGAGGGGGCAATTCCAAATGAAATGAACACCAGGCAGCTTGACAGCTCACTGGGCCCATACAAAGAACGTGGTTCATTTTGTGTGTAGGGGGGAGGGGTGCGGGAGGTGGGTGGAGTTAATGGAGTAGGGGTTGTATAGTACCATTGTTAAAAGCAGGGGTTTTAGCTTATTCACTGTACGACTTCAGGCACATAACCTCTTTGAGCCTGTCAAGTAAAGGTACAGTATTTACTTCACATTCAAAATAATGCATTTCAAGCCTGAGCATCACGGTTGGCACAAAACTGCTGTCTTTTTGAACACCAACTATCAAATATGTGATAGAAATGCCTTGAATGTCAAGATAAAGAATGTATATATTCTCTGGGTCACAGGGATCAAACAGATTTTTGAGCAATAGAGGACACTGATGAGAGGTGCGTGTAAGGGACTGGATCCTGAGTCAAAGTCTAAGCCGCTGAAGTGGTTGCAACCCCACTTACTTTTGTCTCACTCCCATCCAAACCTCCCTACCCTCAATCCACAAGCATTTCAAAACCATGTTTCTAAAAACCAGCCATTTATATCTGTTTAGGTAAGTAACAGGAGTGAAGTGGTGTATTTACAAGTTGGCTTGTCCAGATATACTATAACTTAGTGTCTGTATTTAATATTGACAACCAAAAAATATATATAAATATCTTGCATCTATACACAACAGGGCAGGAGTCTCCGTGTCTTCTTGAGCAGTGAGTTTGCAGGCTCCCACAGGCCCTCTTCTCATGGTGACAGTGTGGCCCTCAGTGCAAAGGAGACTAGAACCCGGCAGCCCAGACTGGCCCTTCCCCTCTCCTCCCTGCACTCCAGTGCTCCCAACTGGTCTCAGGTAAGGAAAGATTAATTTGAGTGGTTGGGTAGGAAGAGATGGGAATGGGCAAATCCTAATGGAGCCTGACCCCTAGAGTGGGGAGATCCAGGCCAGCAGAAGGGGTGGCCATAGCCACCTCCTGGGATAGAAGCCTTGTAGTTCATAGTTCGATTAGTGTGTCCTTAGGACATAGGTCCGGCCCTACAGATTAGCTTGGTGAAGAAGGCAAGTGTCTGGACAGGGCATAGTCCCCACCCTCAGGCACTGAGCCATTCAGGGTGAAGCCTGGGATGTGGGTAGAGGAGACTCAGGCTGATATAAAAAATAACAAAATCAGTAATAAAAAAATTATAAAACCTGTTGCTTGTCTGAATAGATTTGAGCAACAGTCTTGCTTTCGTTAAAATCCTGGAGCTGTTAAGTCCTGAATATTCTTCTGGACATCATTGCTGGCTGGAGAAAGGAGCCCCAGGCCCGGCTCGGCTGACATCTGTCAGTTTGGAAGTCTCATCCAGCTGCCTGTGCTCCTGAGAGATCCTTAGGGCTGCTGGGAGCAGGCCGGGCTGGTGGTCTGGGGCGCCTCACACTTGGGAATCAGCCCCCAGGGGATGGAACAGCTCCTCGGGTGTCTTGTCACTTTGGCTGGCTCCCCCCTGCCGGAAGCCGGAAGCAATCTCATCGAAGGTCCGGCCTTTAGTCTCGGGAACTTTGAAGTAGGTGAAGATGAAGAACAGAACCAGGAGCACAGTGAAGATGATGAAGACGTAGGGACCACATAGTTGCTGAAAGACATACAGACACGCTTGGTTGGAGTCATGACCCTACATCCTGACTGTAGGACTTTGGATAAGTCACTTTACCTTTGGGCCTTTGAGCTGAAAAAGGGAACATCCACCTCCCCAGGAAGGCTATCATCATTAAATGAGATCACACTTGCACCTAGCGTGTAATAGGCTCCAGGAGCACCACTCAAGGCTAAGGGGAGAACCCTGGAGTTGAGGTCAGCATTCTTGGTCATGTGACCTGGGCTTCTTACCCTCGATTTCCTCCTCAGCATGATTCCTAATGAGAATGCTGGGCCAGCACTTTGCACAGCACTGTGGGGTCATGCGTGCAGGCGAGAAATGGTGAGTATAGAGACAGTGGGGGTTCTCACCTCCACATACTGGAAGCACATGCCCACAATGAAATTTGAGGTCCAGTTGGAGAAGCCTGCAACAGCAATGGCAGCTGGACGTGGACCCTGGCTGAAGAGTTCAGCCACGATGAACCATGGAATGGGGCCAGGACCCACTTCAAAGAAGGCCACAAAGCCAAAGATGGCTACGATGCTCAGATAGGACATCCAGGGTAGTTGCTCCTGTTAAGGATGAGGAAGAAGGGGAAAAGTTAGACTGGGTTGTGATGGATCCTCAGGGGAAACAGAAGCTACAGAGTCAGCCCAGAGCAGAGCCATGCTAGAAGGCAGGAAGCCTGGGGCTGGTCCTGGATTTGTTGTGTATCCAGCGTTGGGCCTACGTTTCCTCATCTGAACAAAATGACTTAAGTCCTGCGGGTTGGTTCCAAGTGTGAGCCCACCCCCTGGGAGTGGTAATGTGGTATGCATGTGGAGGGTGCTAAGAGGCCCCGTGGTCCCCTGGCTGTGCCTGCAGTGCAGTCTGCCTGTGGCAGGATGCAGAACATTCCTGGGGGTGGGGTGGATTCAGGTTCTAAGGTTTGTGCGGTGCCCAGCTCTGGATGGTACAGAGTAAGCACTAAGCATATGGTTCTCATATAACCATTCTCCTTGAGGCGGCCCGGGTGGAAAAGTTACGGTCTTTCCACTTGCTGCCTGTCCGGCCTTTCGGCAACCACCAAACTTTCCAAGCCCAGGTTGAGCTGTAAAATGATGGTCATGGTGCTTTCCTTGCCCAGAGGCTGAATAAACGGGCCTGTGTGTGAGTGCCAGCCACAGGGTTGGCATAGCGGTCACAGTCACAGGCTTGGGGCTGAGGTTGATTCTTGGCTTCATCCTTTATCTGACAAGTTACTAACCTCACTGGGAATTAGGCTTCCTCCCCCATAAAATGGGAAGAACTGAACTACACCTCTAGTCGTGTGAACTGAATGAGGCAAGACGTGGTTCTGCACCTCTGTGGGGAGGAGAGCAGTACTTCCCAGGGTTGCTGTGAAGATGAATTGAGGCTACAGATGAAGATTGGAAAGGGTTAATATTAGGCAAAGTAATTCCTTAAGGAGGTGAGAGTTTGGGGTCTGGGACCAGAGGTGCTGTGCTGAGAATCCATCAAGCAGGGAGGAGCAAGTTCAAGAGAGGATGTGTGTGGTTTGGAAGGTGACAACTTCAGGAGCCAGAAGGTCGAACCCACAGCCAGGGAGAGCGCAGTCACCACCTGGCCTGCCAGCCTGGGGCTGAGACAGGCATTTTGGGATCTGAAGCCCAGGCGAACTCCCCCACATCCCTCACCCTCCAGAACCTGGCAACTCACCAGCAGTGCCAGCGCGATGGTCATGAGTATGGCACAACCTGCCATGCCAGCCAGGCCTATGAGATGCAGGGTCCGCCGGCCTGCTCGCTCCACCACAAACAGCTGTGGGCAGAGACAGTGTCAGTGCCACCCCTGCCTGGTGCCCCTCTGAACCCACCCACCCAGAGGCCTCGCCTCAACAGCCGGGAAAGTCACAGGGCACTGCAAAGACCAGCAGGGAAGATGGCACCGCCTCCTCCCTGGGGCTTGGCTGGGGGAGCCAGTAAGCGAAGACTCACCGACACAACAGTGAAGGCCGTGTTGACGATGCCGGAGCCAATGGTGGCGTACACAGGCTGCTGCACCCCTGCCTTCTCAAAGATGCTCGTGGAGTAATAGAAGACCTGCCAGACAACAGAAACTGTTGGAGCCTACCTGGACATTGTGGCCCTTCCCTGCCTCTGTAGCAGTGCATGTGGAACCCAGGATGAGTAAAGAATGAAGGGGACAAATACTCAGGCAGAAGGACACTGCACTGCAGTGTCCTTACAGGCTTGGGTTCTAAAGGGAAGGTTCTCCTTTGGCAGAGGCGTATCTGTTATTTCAAGTTTGGGGCTTGTTCACCGTGCACACTTGACTAGAGGGCTTGGCTGGGGCACAGGAAGGGTGGGTGGGGGCACTCACAGCATTGATGCCTGACAGCTGCTGGGACAGCTGCAGCACCACAGCAATGAGGATGGGCTGGCGGTAGGCGGGGGAGCGGAACAGCTCCAGGATGGTGACCTTCTTCTCCCGCATCATCTGCCGACTCTCTTCCTTCATCTCCTGCAGGTCATGGGTCACGTCAGCCGTCCCGCGCAGCTTCTTCAGCACTGGAGGGACCGGAGGGAAGGTGGGGGTGGCTCAGAGTGGGAAGAAGGCCAGGGCTCAGGGAGTGGGGAGGAGGGCAGGGCCCGGCCCATACCACTCTTGGCCCGGTTCTCCTCATTGCGGTTGATGAGCAGGAAGCGGGGGCTCTCGGGGCAGAAGGGCAGCACGATGCACTGCAGCAGGGCCGGGACGAAGATGATGCTCAGCAGCAGGGGCCACAGGTCCTCGTTGCCCATGATGGAGTCCAGGCCGAACACCTGGGGGAAGCAGGGGCTGTGAGCCTCTGCCCTGACCCCCCTTCCCACCCCGTCCTGCCAGAGTGGCCTTCCCTACTTTGTGTCAGCTGCTGCTTCACAGAAGAGCCCCAGTTCTAGAGGCTCTGCCACTAGCATGAGGCTCAACCTCTCTGAACCCTCAGTTTCCTCATTGGTCACGTGGGGAAAGTAGGACCTACCCCACAGTGTTGCTGGGAGGACAAATGCCAAGGCCACAGATGTGTCCAGGACAGAGAACGGGGGCTGCTACTCTGCCACAGGAGGGGTTTGGGGACAGGGAAGGGGAAGCCTCCTGGAGAGAGGGTACACTGCACATAATGGCCTAAGGCATGCTGGGGGAAGGCGGGCCCTGTGGTTGGCGGCCTAGAGTGAGAAGAAAGGGATTGAGAAGAGTCAAGTCATCTTGCTCTCAACTAGGAGGCCATGGTGCTGTGTTCTCTGGACCTGTGTACCATAGCTGTCCTCTGCAGGGCTGTGGGGGCTGGGTGGACGAGAAACTGCCCTGCGGGGCACAGATCTAAGAGCCACTGAAGCTGTGGGCAGGGGCTGTGCCGGGCAGGTAGATCCTGCCCTAGCTTACCTGGGCGATGAGGATGCCAACGACGATGCCCAGCTGGTGCAGGGTGCCCAGGGCCCCACGAAGGGCTGTGGGTGACACCTCACCCACATACATGGGCACGAAGCCTGTGGTCAGGCCGCAGTACACACCGATGATGAAGCGGCCCAGGATCAGCATCTCAAAGGACTTGCCCAGTTTCGAGAAGCCCATGAGCACGGCAGACACGAAGGCCAGCAGGTTCATCATCAGCATTGAATTCCGCCTGGGGGTGGGGTCACAGGTCAGGCCGGTGCCCACATTCCTTGGGCTCCCAGGGGCTGGGTCATAGGTAATACCCTAGAACAGACAGGGAAGTCTCCCCCACCTCCCACCCCATCTGGGACTCCCTGGGCAGGAGGGCATGGGCCCTCCAAGGGCAGTGCCAGGACCTCTCCTACTTACCGGCCAAAGCGGTTAACGAAAAGGCCCACAGAGAAGGAGCCAATCATGCCCCCAACGGAGAATATGGCCACAGAGAGGGACCAGAGTGTGGTGAGCGTGGTGGGCAGGATGCGCTCCCCATAGCGGTGGATCCATGTCTGGTTGTAGAACTCCTCAATCACCTGCAGGGGGAGATGCAGCCTGGGTGGGCAAGCCCCGGGCCAGGACCCAGTCTTCCTTTTCCTTTCCCCTTGCACCCCTCCCTAAGAGAGGGCCGGGGCCTGGCTCTGCCACAGATTCACTCCATGTTCTTGAGCCAAGTCCCTCTATTTTTGTGGGCCTCAGTTTCCTCAGGCAAGAAACAAGGGGTTGGAGTCCATCTGAGAGCCCCGCCAACTCTCCCGCTTCCCCTAACTGTGGTTTCCAGTGCCCTGTGGTTTCACAGGCTCAGTGTGACTTGCTGGGATGACAGCAAGTGACCAATGGTGGAAGTTCAGGCATAGAACAGAGAGGTACAAGGTCAGGTGTGGTGGCTCACACCTGGAATCCCAGTGCTTTGGGAGATCAAGGCAAGCAGATCACGGGAGGTCAGGAATTTGAGATCTGCCTGACCAACATGGTGAAACCCTGTCTCTACTAAAAGTAAAAAAAATTAGCTGGACGTGGTGGCGCAAGCATGTAATCCCAGCTATGCGGGAGGCTGAGGCAGGAGAATCGCTTGAACCCAGGACATGGAGGTTACAGTGAGCCAAGACTGCGCCACTGCACTCCAGCCTGGATGACAGAGTGAGACTCTATGTCTCAAAGAAAAAAAAGAAGTACAGAAGGAAAAGGGCCTTCCTACTTGCCCCTTTTATCCTCACCATGTCTCAAAGCCCCAAGGGCCCATCTCCTGCCACCGGGCCCTCTCCCCAACCCCTTGCTGGGGAGGAAGCAGGGCTTGACAGACGGGTTCCGCCATCCAGGAAGTACGGACTTCCTGACCGCACTGAGGGCCTGGTGTGACAAACTCACACATGTCACCCTTCAGATGTGCTTGAAAGACTCACACTGTGGCTTTCTGTTCCCCAGGCCTAGCTCCCTTGTGTCTGGCCTGCGAGCACCCCCTTGAAGGACCCACGCATGGCCTCCTCCCCTCTCCCAAGGGCCCAGCTAGGAGGTACGGGGAAAGGCTCCACACAAGGAAGCAGTTCCAGGAACTGGAAACGCCTGTCCTAGGACAGACCTGCCCACCAGCCCTGCCCCCACCCTGGCCAGCTCCCAGGGATGTGGTAGGCAGGCAGCACCGGTTCTGCCTGAGTACACTCACTACACTCTCAGTGCCACGGGACTGGCCAGACCCATCCAGCCACACGTATAGCAGAGTGCAGGCCTAGTTACCCAGAAACGGCTTCTTGTGCACGTATACCATCACACACACATAACCATGCTCACAGAATCTGAATATTCCTGCTTCAGCCAGTCACAAACTCACAGGCCCCTCATCCCCTACCACTTACAGCTCAAACTCAGTTCCATTTGAACCCAACCCATCCCAACACCCCTCCATGTGTGTGCATGCCGCAAGTTCATACACACACAGCGGTATGCAGCCTCCATCACTGCTGTTGGTCCTCCCTATCCCTTCCAACCCACCGAGGTCTAGCAAAAGAGGAAGGTGTGGGCGGGCACACTTGCCAAACGGGGGCCTGCAGTCCCAGAAATGCCCACTGAATATGCTGGGCCTGCCTCCTGGTGCCTTCCTTCCCATTGCTGTGGGTCCTCAGCCTCTAGTCATCTCTTTGCCTGCCCTGTCACAACCTGTCCCAAGTCTGGAGGCATCTGATGGAGGCCAGGCTCCAACGGGCGAGGACAGTTGGTAGGGCAGAGGCAAGCCCTAAGGATCTGCTTGTCCATTCCAAGGATGCCAGGCAGGGCAGTGAACAGAAACCTGAACTCTGATCTGGACACAACTAAATTCAGGTACTAGCTCCACCCCTTATTTCCAGTGTGACCATGAGCAAGTTATTTCATCTCTGAGTTTCCATGGCCCCATTTCTAAAGTGCAGACATTAGCAGTAGCTGCTTCACAGTGCTGCAGGGAATCAGTGACACAGCGCTCTCCAGTGCTTGATGTCATCATCCCTAAAATCACCCCACTGCACACTGGTGGCCTGAAGGCTGTGCAGACCACTAACAGAGTCTCCCCAAGCCTTCAACTCGTAACTCAAATTCGGGGCTCTTGCCTGGTATCAATCCAATCTCCCTACCTATCACACCTTTGCGCTATATACCATTTCCCACTCCTCTACACCTTTGAGATGCTACCACTCCTGCCTGGAAGGTACCCCTGGCCTTACTGCTGAAACCTTTCGAGATGCAGGTTTCCCTGACTCCAGGAGTTTGTCTTCCCTGAGGAAGACACTTGATTCACACCTGGTCTGTCCCAGAGCCAATGCCAGGGATACCTGGTGAGTAAATGGAGGAATTGATGAACTAAAGATGTTTGGCTCTCCTCTTAGAACCCCTTGATTCCGCTGGGGGCAGAGAGAAGGTAGATTTTGAGAAAAAAACAGAGCAACAAAACACAAAGTGTTCTTCTATGGACAAAACTAACCCCAGAGGAGGACTGGTTGGGAACGGTAATGCCCTGTTTATCAGGCTCCACCAAGAACAGGCTGTTCTGGATGAGGGTGGATATGGGAACTGTCCCGATAAATGGCGCTTGCCCTTTTGAGGGTCCAACCTTTCCTGACCCATTATGGGGTGAAAATTTGAAGAGATTTCACTTTGCTCTCCTGAGCAACCAGACCTACAAGCAGGGCTGCAGGGCAATGGTGTCTGCCCTTGGGGCTCTCTGCAGGGGCAAAGAGAGGTGCTTGCGCCTGTGCAGACTGGCTCCTGATGGCTAAATTTCTGCAGTCCATAGTTCTAAGGTATTCCCCCACTCCTCCGTGGTTCAGAGGCTTGTCTTGTACAACTCTACACGCCCCTTTTGAAATTTGCCAAGAAGTCAGCAAATGGAATTTGTTTGAATTGTATACAAAGAAAGAGTAAATGGGTGCTAAGTAAGGCCTGAAACTACCTAAATAAGCTTGAAGATCTGTTGAGATGTTGGGGCAACTAATAAGAGAGGTGTATAAGTGAGGTGTGACCAGAGCTCCACCCTGAGTTACGTCTCCTGTCTGTGGTCACACAGTCAGAGGGACCCAACCTCGTCCAGGGCTGGCTCCTGGACGCTGCCTAGCTGCTCTGTTACTCACACCACTTTATGGGGTGGAGGAAGGGTGAGCAGCCAGCTCTCTGCATGTTAACCTTGGCCTAGACTCATCCTCTCCAGCCCACAGCAGCACTTCCTGGCCAAGCTGAGGCTGGGGAGTGGGTTTCTGCCTCTTGGTGCCTGAGATTTCTGGGAAGAAGCCACGCCTGGTTTTCCACTCCTACTGCTGGTTCCGGTGCTCTGTGCCCTCTCCTCCCTGGGGATTCATATGGGGTTCCATGCTGACTCTTGGCCCAGGAAAGGCGGGAATGCTGGAGAATGAGAAGAACCCTACATAGGGAAAAGCTCTGGACACATCCTCCCTAGAAGTGTCTGGGTGCACCTCAGGAAAGAAGACTCTACTTATGCCCTGACAGGATCCCACAGGCCCAATCCCGTGGGCTCCCAGCAGCCTCCGCAGCCCTGGGTCATGTGTGAGGTGAGACCTGGCACGTGCCTGTTCTGAACGCTCCCACCTCACATGCCCATCCCAAGCTTAGGAGTTAGACACTTGATGCTGCCACCACCCCACATCCACCAATCACCAGGTCCTCTTGATTCTGCCTCCGAGTCTGTCCTACTTCTCTACCCAGGCAGCCTGCCCTGGGTCTCATCTGGATTCTGCTCCTGACTCTTCCTATCCACCAAAGTCAGACCTCATTTCCCACAGCGAACCACCCCTCAGAATGCAGTCGGTGTCCTGCACACCAAATGTGCCAGGCTCGGCCATTCACCCGCTTCTCTGCTCCCTTCCCAGCCCGGTCTTTTCACCCAGCCGTGGGGTCTGGGTGGCAGCAAGCGTGTTGAGGAGGGAGGAGCGGTTCTGGTCAGTTCCCAGGGGGACTGCCATGGCATCGGCCAGCCGAGAGCTGAGGGGCTACTAAAGATCTCTGTCCAGGTGCCTCACTGAGCCTAGAGGACACCCACCATGGAGACCACCCTAGAGAAGCAGGTTGACTGTGGGCAGCTGAGATCCTTTGGACCAGATGGCTTCTGGTACACGAAGCTATTCCTCACCCAGTGGCTTTCCTGGGGTGAGGGGGAGGCCTGCACAAGCCTAAGGACACCCTGGGAATCCCCATACCACCTCCTGCCAGTCTAGGCAACTGTGGGTGAGACCACATGTCTGCCTCTCTACCAAGGAACTTCTCACTTCCCCTTTGTAGAGCGGCATGAGGCGGCGAGCACTGCCTGGCACATGGGTAAGCTGTTACTGTTGTCACTGTTGCTCTCTCAAGAAGAGAAGTCACCACCTTCAGAGGAGCCTTAGGGACAAGGTTTTCCATTTTGAAATTGCCAGAAATCATTACCTTAAGAATGTAAGAGTACGGAGGAACCTGAAGGAACTAGGGGCCTGCCTCGGGGAGTAAAGCTAGTCTCCAGGCCCTGCTCAGCTGCTCCTGGCAGAGGAACCCAGCAGGTCTGTAGCCCCAGAGGGCAGAGGCGCCAGGGCCAGACTCCAGCTTCGGGGAAGGAAGAGCTTTATCGACTTCAGGGTATGAGGCTGCCCACCTTACAGGTGGTGAGTTCCCTGTCAGTAGGGAGCATGCAAGTCAAAGTGCTCCAGAGCCGAACTGGCAAACATTTTATGTAAAAGGCTAGCTAGAATCCATTAGGCAGGGTCTGTGAGCCACATATGGCCTCTGTCACTCATTGTTCTTTTTTTCTCAACCTTGTAAAAATGTAAAAACCATTGTTAGCTCACGGGGTAGACAAAAACAGGCTGCTGGCTGGATGTGGCCCTCCTGCCAACCCTTGATCTAGGATTCTAGACCACTGCCGGGAGGGGTATGTGTTTTGGAACCTCTGGCTGGTCTCACCATCCTTCCTGCTAGACATTCCTCTACCCCAGGAGGACTAGGTCGGCTAGGTCATCCCCAGCAGGGATCCCTGGGCCAGGTTGAAGCTCCATCTCAACCCTCCCTGTGCTCTACTGGATGCTAT